ACCACTACGACTACTACTACTACTACTACTACTACTACTACTACTACTACTACTACTACTACTACCCCTCCCCCTCCCGAAGCCCAAGAGATGGCCAAGGACGACCCAGGGCGCCCTCCCCAACAGTGGCTGCTACACCTCCTCCTCCTCCTCCTCCTCCTCCTCCTCCTCCCTCTCCCTCCCGGAGCCCTCTCGTTGTGGGCAGTCCTGGGGCCCTCTCGGAGCCGTCTGGGGCGTTCTCGTGGGCCCGTGGGCGGGCTGGCCTTGGATCGGGGAAGCGTGAGACTCGAGTAAGCTTAAGTCGGGCCTATCCCTTTACAGGGGTAATGTTCAACAGTAGTCATGAACTAGTCCAGGGCAGTTGTTCTGAGCATGTTGTTCCATAATGTTTGGGGTATGTTTCACTTGTCGTTCAATATCCACCTGTAGGAGGACATGCCCGACCGAAGAGTTAGCTGGAACTCGGGGTTGCCGACGTTTTTTGACGAGCGCGTCCTGGGTTTTGACGGTCCAGTTTTCGCGGGGCGTTTGCAGCGGGAGCTCGCGTCAAATTTCAGATCGGGTCTCGTCGTTTTTATGATGACCCCGTCAGGCCAACCCGAGTCCCCTGTACCCGAGTCTCACGTCTCCCCGATTGGAGCAAGACCAGAGGGCTCCCGCGGGGCCATCTCCTGGGGCCCCTTCGTGCGCCTCCCGGAGGCTTCCTAAGGCCCCCTTCGCGGGTGTTAATCTGCGCTTCTTCCCTCCTTCGATTGGTTCTGGTCTTGATTGTATTAAATGCGCTCTTTTGATGCTGTGGAAGGCGATCGATGGAGAGGAGGCATGTTGCCAAGCATTTCCAGATGTCTAACAACATATTTAGAATATGTTTCGAAAGTGCTAAATCATGTTCTAAACATGTGCCGAACATTGTTTAAGCATATCGAATACATTTTACCGACATTTGTAATTCAATAATAGAACGGTTAGAGTTTCCATTGTCATGGCATCCGCAAGTTGGATGCAGCCATGTTCCAACCTACGGTCGGTCGATCCTGAAGTGCGCTGAGGTGGTGGTAGCCCCCCTCGCGGGTGTCTTCTGGGCGCTGCTGGGCTGTCCTGGGGGCCTTCTGGGCGCCCTCTCAGAGCCTGTTGGCGACCTCGGCGCCCTCCTCAGACCCCGTCGCGTCGTGAGAGAACACGACGGAAGGCTCTTCAGCAGTATTCAGCCCCTTTGGGACCCTCGCCAGGCCAGGTGACAGTGACAACAACGACTCAGGATGAAAAGCCTGTCCCTCGGAAGGGGTCCTGACCTCTCTGGGAGAACAAGTCCTGGCGCCGGAGGTCTGGGTCGCCAGCGCCAACTCCAGGAGCGAATGCCTGGGTGAGCCACAGGGGAGAAACCGAGGGAGGACGCAGCGGGCTGCCCTGACATCCTCGCACCGCAAAATAAAACACTACGACGGAAGGTCTTCGACGAGCCTCGGCTTCTGGGGGCCCGCAACACCTCTTTCTGCTTCGGGCGGTCCCCGCCCAAGCGCGCGAGGTGGGAGGATACCCGGGGAACACTGGCACTGCTGGGGCATGGTGGCCGCGGCATGCAGCCGTCGCTCGTCGAAGGGACGGGGCGGGACACTCGGGGAGCACCGGCACGCTCTGGGCCCGGGCGGTCGTGTGCAGAGGTGTGCGAGGCGGGCCGCGAGCTCCTGTCTTTCCAGCTGAGAAGCCCCGCGCTGTCGGGTGGGGAACTGCTCGGGATGCAAGGGCCCGCCTCTGGGGGCCTCGGTGCTTCCCGAAGGCCCCACGGAGTTCCCGCGGACCCCTCCAAGAGCCCCCCCCCCCCCCCAGCTGGTTCCCCGAGCCGCTCTCCCGACCCGTGAGGGGAGAGCTCGTGCAAGCAGGTCGGGTGGCCTTTGGGAGGGCCTCGGGAGCCCGGGGGGCCCTGGGTTTTCGCCTGAGGGCAGTTCTTTTCCCCCACCTCGAGAAGCATACAGCAGGTAGTTGCCAGTCGGTGGGATGCCACCTCGCGCGGGGGGAAGGACATTCACCCGCCGCGTGGCCCCAGAAGGGACGGCGGCTTCTGGCGAGCTCACTCACGATCGGTATAGAGACCCAAGTCCTTTCCAGCCAAGGGTCCGGCTCGAAACAGGTGTTGGCAGTCCTGGCGGCAGTGAACTACGCACTCACGCTTTTGTTCACAATGGAGATGGCACTACGGATCTACGTGTTGAGGCATGACTTCTTTGTCGAAGAGCGGTTGTGGAACTGGTTTGACATGGCCATCGTGCTCCTGGCACTCGCCGAGGTTGCTCTGGAGTTTGTTCTGCGCTCTCTTTCAAGCGGCAGCCGTCACCTCCTCGACAACGGCGGGACTGCGAAGATCCTGCGCCTCTTTCGGGTCGCCCGTCTGCTCCGCCTGATCCGAAGCTTTCGCTCCCTGAAGCCCTTGCGGATGCTCGTTCACTCTATATTCTTTGCCGGCAAGTATGTTCTTTGGGCGCTCATCATGCTCTTCATGATCGTCTACGCCTTTGGAGTCGTCTTGACACAAGCTGTAGCGGAGCACACTGGAGGTGGCACGCATATCGATGACGATGCTCTGGTGGCGTACTTTGGGAGCCTCTATCGGTCAATGTTGAGTCTTTGGATGGCTGTCTCTGGAGGTATCAGTTGGATCGAACTCACTGGTCCACTCGAAAGGACTGGAAATATTTTCTTGGTCTTGTTGTTGTTACTCTACATCAACTTCGTGTACGTATTTATACTCAACGTGGTGCCTCTCCGCGCAACCTTCACCTGGCCCACCCTCTCCCCCCCTTCTCTGGGGCTGGGCCACTGAGATTCGGCTAAGAGAGACCCCACCTAGCCCACCCCACTGGAAAAGGGTGCCAGGGAGGGGTGGGGGGTGTTGTTTTTCTGCCCTAGGTGACCGGCGTTTTCTGTCAGAACGCACTCGAGGGGGCTCAACAAGACCTGGACCTTACCATCGAGAGTCAGCTCAAGGATAAGCAGCTATACGTTGACCGCCTGCGCCTGCTCTTCAAGGAGATGGGAGAGGAGACTGGTGCTGTGGACAGTGGGCTGACAGGAGCCGAACTCCATTTCCAGCTGGCGCAGCCAAAGGTGCAGTCCTGGTTCCGGGCGTTGGACATCGACGCCACGCAGACGTGGAAGCTCTTCAAAGTTCTCGACGCGGGCAACTCGGGCCGTGTATCCCTCGAGGACTTCGTGGAGGGCTGCCTGCGGCTGAGGGGGCAGGCCACGCGCGTCGACGTGGAGTCTCTGAAGTGGGAGATCAGAGGGGCGAACAGACGCTCCGAGCAGGATGCTCAGATGCTCGCCGAGCTGATCCAAGACCTCGGGGACGTGCGGTCCTCGATGGTGCGCGTGCGCAGTGCGGGTGCTTCTGTAGGCCGCGCCGCCACCGGCGACTCGGCGTGACGTTTCGCGAGCTGCTCTGCCGTTCTTGCGTTGCCTCTGGCACGTAGGCATCGTTATCACTCGGGGCTGGACAGAACCCCCAATAGTGACACGTCGATTAGTGAATTGTCCGTTTTCGGTTCTCGAGAGGGCGCCGTGGCCGTCAGTTTCCAGGCTTTCGCCCGCCAGATTTGGGCCCGAGGTCGTTTTCACTAAACCACGTTTTGCTAAAGGGGGTTCTGTCCATCCCCGAATCACGCAAGTTCACGGACGCATCACAGTTCTGAGGCCACCGCCTTCCCTCCATGCCCCAACGGGCACGGGCGGGCTCCCCAAACGGAGCGCGCACGATTCCGGCCTGCGCTTCGCTTCGCTTTCACTCTTGCTCTTGTTGCCGCTGCCGCTGCCCCAGTCCCGGCTCGTGGCGCCTCACGGAGCGTGTATCGGGGGCGGAAAAGAGGGGGGTGATGACTAGGGGGGGGGGTGGATATCATGGCGTGGGCCATGATATTTCCCCAGATCTCATGGCGCCGCTTCTTATTTCATTGCGTCCCTGGCCCCCCCCGCTGGGCCGCGCACATGCCGCCGGTCATGATTTGCACCCCCCCCTCTTGGACACTCCCCTCTTGGCCGCTCCCGAGTGTAGGCAGACACTGACGCCGTGAGCGCTGCCTTCGACTGCCCCTCGGGGGTCATTCGCCGGCAGGTGGGCGTTGTCGTTCGGAGCAGAAAAGCGCCGACGTGAGCGGGAGTTGTCGGAGGTGCGTGCGGATGTTTTGGGCCAGCATTGGGCTCCCCTTCTGGGCGAGCTGAGATGCCAGCGCTGCGCGAACGTACAACTGCGCGAACGCACGCCGATTCCACACCATGTGACCGCCTCGGGGTATCAGCTCCGTGCACGCGGAGGCTCCCGTCCGTTTCTCCTTGGCATCGCTCGGACGTGCGGTCTCGACCACTGGGCCAAAGAAGCGCGCACGAAAGCGACAAATGCACGGGGAATGCACGTCCGAGCGATGGTAAGTCTCTTCGCGCCCGCGCCTGCGGTCCATGCGCGACGCGCAGGCTTGCGTTTTGGCCCTCGCAGGAGGAGGAGGAGGAGGAGGACGAGGAGAAGAAGGAGGCGGAGGAGGAGGAGAACGAGAAGGAGGAGGAGGAGGAGGAAGAGGGGGACGAGAAGGACTAGGACGAGGACGAGGAGGAGGAGGAGGAGGAGGAGGAGGAGAGGAGAGGAAGGACGAAGGAGGAGGAGGAGGAGGAGGAGGAGGAGGAGGAGGAGAAGGAAGGGAGGAGGAGGAGGAGGAAGAGAAGGAGGGGGAGGAGGAGGACGACGACGACCAGAAAGCAGAAGGGGGCCCCGCCCTGGGGCTCTTCTCGCCTCTGGCGTCCTCCGGGCCCCTGGCCCCCGCTCGGGGCGTCCGGCCCTTGCCCCCGCCCCACCCTGCCCCCCCTCCCCCCCCCCGCAGGAGGCCCCCGCAAACGCCACCGGCGCCGCCGCGCCGCACGCGTGGGTGCCGAGGAGCGCCGGCTACGACAAGCCGATGCGGCGCACTCAGCGCCAGACCGCCTGCGCGGCGGGCAGCACCCTTCCGCGCCCCCTGCCCTCCTCCTCCTCCTCCTCCTCCTCCTCCTCCTCCTCCTACTCCTCCTTCCTCATGGGCTGCGAGCATATCCGTATGCGCGCCCTCGCGGGCTGGGGTCCAGGGCGCGATCCCCCGGGTACGCGGTCGCACGGATACGTTTCGCGCGGGGCACTCGCGAAGCCACGCCCCCCGTATCCGTGGGGTCGCGGCCCAGGGGCCCCGCCCGCGAGGCCACGGATACTAATGCGTTGTTCGCCCACGATTCCTGCCCCCGCCTTGACCCCCGAAGGTTCTGGCCTCCATGAGGCCGCCTCCCTGGGTCAGCGGGAGACTCGGAGGGTTCGGCCTCGGAGGCAGGCATCAGCGCCTCGAACTCCGAGGCAGGCGTGGGCCAACCACGCCCAGACTGGTTTTTAGGCCGCTGCCTTAGGTACCCTGCCCCCTTCCCTCCCCTCGCCTCCCTCCCCCACTTCCCTCCAGCTGCCCTCCCTACGCACTCCTGCCTCCATCTTCCTTTCTCCCTGTCGGCGGAGGAGGAGGAGGAGGAGGAGGAGGAGGAGGAGCAGCAGGAGCAGGAGGAGGGGGAGGGGGAGGAGGAGGAGGAGGAGGAGGAGGAGGAGGAGGAGGAGGAGGAGGGAGGAGGAGGAGGAGGAGGAGGAGGAGGAGGTGGAGGAGGAGGGGGAGGAGGAGGAGGCGAGGCGGATCGCGTTGAGTCTTGTGGTTTTAGTGTTCATCGGCCCGCCGCGTGCATCCAGAGAGGCCTCTTTGGAGACCCCCGGGGCACCCGATGCCCCGCCTCTGGCAGAGCAACTGGCTGCACGGGGCACGACATCTCGGAGCGCTTGTGCGGGCCATCCGAAGCGGCTCCTCCTCCTCCTCCTCCTCCTCCTCCTCCTCCTCCTCTTCGCCCCTCGGCCTCCACGTCACTCGTCCTCCTCTCCTCTCTTCTATTCTTCGCCGTCCTCCTCTCCTCCTCCTCCTCCTCCTCCTCCTCCTCTCCTCCTCCTCCTGCTTCCCTTATCCTCCTCCTCCTCCTCCTCCGCCTCCTCCTCCTCCTCCTCCTCCTCCTCCTCCTCCTCCTCCTCCCCTCCTCTCTCTCTCTCCTATTCTTCGCCCTCATCTCCTCTCCTCCTCCTCCTCCTCCCCTCCTCCTCCTCCTCCTCCTGCTTCCCATATTCATCCTCCTCTCCCTCCCTTCCTCCTCCTCCTCCTCCTCCTCCTCCTCCTCCTCCTCCTCCTCCTTCGCCAAGCGCTCCCGCGCGCGAGCGGGCGGGCTCTGTGGAGAGAGAGCGAGGAGGACGGGTGACGCCTGGGATCGCAGCGGGTCTCTGCGAAGTTAGCACGCCACTCTGGCGGAGGGGGGAGGGAAGAGGCACCCTCCCTCTCGGGGAAGTGGGTGGAGGGAGACAGCCTCCTCCTCCTCCTCCTCCTCCTCCTCCTCCTCCTCCTCCTCCTCCTCCTCCTCCTCCTCCTCCTCCCTCTGTGGGGAAAGGGGGAGGGAGGGGGCGCTCCCAGGCCGCACAACTTCCAGAGGGCCGTCGCGCGGGCGCTGAACTTCATGCAGCTGGGGTGGAGGGCCGCGCCGTACCGCATGTGCGCCCCCCCCCCCTCCTGGGACTCATCTCGGGCGGCGGACCCCCTTGTGTCGAGGGAGGGGTGGAGGAGGGGGAGGGAGGAGCAGAGAAGAAACGGGAGGAGGAGGAGGAGGAGGAGGAGTGAGGAGGAGGAGGAGGAGGAGGAGAGGAGAGGCGAGGAGAGGAGAGGAGAGTGAGGAGGAGCAGGAGAGGTGGAGGAGGGGGAGTCAGAAGGGAGGAAGAGGAGAGGTGAGAGGAGTAGGAGCGCCCTCCTCCTCCCTTGCGACGAGGAGAGTCACAAAGGAGGGGGAGGGAGGATGAGAGAGGAGGAGGAGGGAGGAGGAAGGAGGAGGAGGAGGAGGAGGAGAGGGAGGAGGAGGAGGAGGAGGAGGAGAGGTGAAGGAGGCCGACCCACGAAACAGACTGCAGGAGCAGGCAGCGGAGCCTGCGTGCCGTGCCACACGTCTTTACCGCATCTGCAGCGGAGGCGTCGGCGCAGGGACGGCCCCGCACCGGCCCAGGGTGTCCAGAGAACGACCTCGACGAGGACACTCGGGCGTCGCGTGCAGTGGGGACCCATGCTAAGAATCGGGGGCGGAAAAGAGGGGGGTGATGACTAGGGGGGGATATCATGGCGGGGGCCATGATATCTCCCCAGATTTCATGGCGCCTCTTCTTATTTCATTACGTCCCTGGACCCCCGCTGGGCCGCGCACATGCCGCTGGTCATGATTTGCACTCCCCCCCCTCTTGGACACCCCCCTCATGACCGCTCCCGAAAGAAACACCCTGCTTGCCTCCACGGTATCCTGGGTTTCTGGGGTTCCGATGGTTTTCCAACGGGCGTGACGTTCTCAGACCACAACTCAATGGACCTCCTGGGGTCTCAGGGTTGGGTTTCTTGAGGAAGGTTGCTTGTGCACTGGCCCCCACTGTAATGGAGGGGCGATGAGTGGGAGGCATCGAGGGGTGCAGAAAGGGGGGCCCTCAAGGGGCCCGTTGGGGCCCAACAGATTGCCTTCAGGACCCGAGAAGTGCACCTGTCTCCTCCCCCTAGTCTTCGCCCCCCACTAAGCGACTCTAGACCTCCTAGATGGGGTCGGAGTTGATGGAGTCGCAGGATCGCGCCGCACCGCCGATGCACGGGCGATGCGGCTCGATGTGGGGCCTGGTTTGTTCAAGCGGAGCTCCAGGAAATTGCTTTGTTTCTTACTGGAAGCAGCCCGTTTACTATTTATTGCAGTGCGCTGAGTTTTATTCCGGAAAGGTGCTTTTTCTTCCGGGGAGATGGTTTGAGCAGTCACGGATTTGCCAGCCCTCGCCCAGCTTCCGACAGGAGGCCTTTTCATTGATCGCCCCCCACGAAGCGGTGCCGCGAGGACACGATCGCAGAGGGGGGAAGCACGCGCGGCGCCCCGGGGGCAGCCGGGGGGAGATCGGCGAGGGGCCCACGCCGCGCAGGGGGAAGGCTTCGGGGCAGGCCAGGCCCGGCAGTCTTTGGAGGCTTCGGGGTGCGCGGCGCTAAGGCGAGGAGGAGGAGGAGGAGGAGGAGGAGGAGGAGGAAGAGGGGGGGGAGGAGGGGGAGGAGGAGGAGGAGGAGGAGGAGGAGAAGGAAGAGGAGGAGGAGGCGGAGCCACATTCCGAAGACGGCCCGCCCTTCATCCATGAAGCTCTTGCCAATTTTTCTCGGAAGGGGCTCCGGTCTTCGGGCCGTCCCTCGGGCCCGCGTCGGGGAGCCGCCTCGTGGCCGCGGCTCGCCGTGGCCAAAGCATAGCCTGCGCTCCTCGTGCCGCGTTCCCTCCGCGCTCTGGTCTGTGCCGCCTTCGTCGTGCCTGAACTCGCTCCCCGTGCCCAGCGCTTGTTTGACCGGAGCCTGGCGGTCCTGGACCAGTCGGCGCCCGCGGACTCAAAACAATGCTCAGCGCTCCGGATTCGGCGGCGAGCCCGGGGGGGGGGAAGTGGAAGGGGGCGGACCTTCTCGGAAGGCTGGGAGGCCCCCCCAGCTTCCTGAGAAGTTTTTGTAAGCCTTCCCCGACGACGCACACAGCTTCTCAGAAGGCCCGAGGGCCTCCGAGAAGCCCTGCCGCCTTGGGCGAGGGCCTGTCCCCTCCTCCTATCCCCCCCATCGCTCGCCGCCGACGGATGCTGGCGCGATGGACCGTGCGAGCTCCACGGGCCCCCGTCGCGTGGCGCCCCCCCCCCTCCTCCTCCTCCTCCTCCTCCTCCTCCTCCTCCTCCTCCGCCTCTCCTCCTCCTCCCTCCTCCTCCTCCTCCTCTCCTCCTCCTCCCTCCCTCCTCCTCCTCCTCCTCCTCCTCCTCCTCCTCCTCCTCCTCCTCCTCCTCCCCGGCGCGCCCCTTGCGGCCGCCCGCGGAGAGGTTCACCGGCAAGACGCCCCGCGAGCTCAACCGCTTCGCCGCCGCCCCAGCGGCGGATCGCCCTTTCGCTCTCTCCTCGGCGCGATCCGATCCTTTGCCTATCGATCCAGCTGCGCGATTCGATCCCTCCCCCCCTCCCCCTCCCCCTCCTCCTCCTCCTCCTCCCCCTCCTCCTCACCCTCCTCCTCCTCCTCCTCCTCC